GGAACGAAAGAGTCTGCATAGAAATGACAGGTCTCAAAGTTCCAGTGGTGCAGATTAACTTGCATCACAGCAAAGGCACCTCAGCGATTTTAGCTAGGGGCATGGCTGTGATGCAGACAGCAATAGCAATAGCTTGTACAAGAACCATGGCTCTTGAACAACGCTATAAAAGGCCTGAGCGGTAGTGGCAAGATTATCTCGTCCACCAGGGAAAAATAAGGACATGTATAGTGACAAAAGGTCTAAATGCAATCTTTATGCCGCAGTTCAGTAATGGAGACATCACGGTGGTACAAGTGAGGCTTAATCTGGACGAAGGGACCCATAGGGATGTATTTATGGGGTCAGTCTACATGCTCTATGACGCCAAAGACCTTCCACCACAGAGGGAAGTCAAGGAGCTGATGAAATATGCGGAGGAGAGAGGGCTGGAGGTACTCCTGGGTTGCGATGCAAACTCCCACCATGTGGGATGGGGGAGCACGGGCATCAACCCGAGAGGGGAAAGCCTACATGAATTCGTCATGGACAGCAAGCTAATCATCCTAAACAGAGGAACGGAAGCCACCTTCATGGACTGCAGAAGACGTGAGGTTATAGACCTAACCCTGTGTACGAGGGGAGTGGCTGACCTGGTGAGAGACTGGAGGGTCTCAAACGAACCTTCGGGATCGGATCACAGGCAGCTACGTTTTGTGCTCGAGCACAGGGAAAAGGGGAAATGGGGTCGCAACCCCAGAGGCACAAACTGGACGAGCTACAGGAAGGACTTTGGCACCATTCTGAAAAAAGCCCCGTCCAGATTTAATACAAAACAGGATCTAGAAGTGGCGTCGCAGTTTGTCAGCGACGCTATCATAGAGGCCTATGAAGTAAACTGCCCACTAAGGCGGAAACAAGTCTCAACCAAGGTCCCATGGTGGAATAATGAGCTTATTAAGCTCAGGGTTGAGACAAGAAAGTTTTTCAATAGAGCAAAAAAGTCAAAAGCGGAAACTGATTGGGTAGCTTTCAAGAGCTCCCAACGACGCTATAGCAAAGAAATCACAATGTCAAAGAGGAGGAGCTGGAGGGAGTTCTGCGGGAGCGTTGAAAGTTCTCCGGAGATTTCCAGACTCAACAAAATCCTAAGCAAAGACAATTCACCTCAACTGGGATGTCTTAAGTTCCCAGATGGAAGATACACTGAATCAACGGAGGAGACACTGAGACACTTGATGTCCACTCACTTTCCGGGATTCAGAGAGGATGTCACGATTCGGAGCAACAGAGACGAGGATCAATCAAGAGAACCTCGTATGACCAAAGAGTGGTCCCTCGTGACCAGAATCGTACAACTTGAGCGGGGTCAAATGGGCAATAGAAACCTTTGAGCCTTATAAGGTACCGGGACCGGACGGCATTTACCCGGCACTCCTAAGGGAGGGACTGGAGGTGCTGACAGGTCCACTAACAAAAGTACTCAGGGCTAGTATAGCCCTGAGATTAGTACCACAAACCTGGAGGGAGACGAGGGTAGTCTTTATCCTTAAACCAGGCAGAAACGGTCATATCTTGGCCAAGGATTACAGGCCGATCAGCCTTACATCATTCATTTTGAAAACAGTGGAAAGGCTGGTAAACAGATACTTGAAGACAGGACCCTTGGTCTTTTGCCCACTGACCACAACTCAATACGCTTATAGGGAGGGCAGGTCGACCGAGACTGCCCTACATCACCTTGTAAGCGGAGTTGAGGGACAGCTGGAAGCCAAGGGATACGCCATAGGAGTCTTTATAGACATAGAGGGAGCTTTTGATAGCACCTCTAACAAGTCTATCAAAGAGGCAATGTACAGAAACAAGATCCCAGAGGCGATCGTGGACTGGACAAAGCATGCTAACGGGCAGAAGTCTAACTGTAAGCCTGGGTGAAAATTCAGTTGGGGGGAGTCCGGCTGGGGGCTGCCCGCAGGGGGGCATAATCTCTCCTCTGCTGTGGTGTCTAGTGGTCGATGACCTTCTGGCTGAATTAAAAGAAGCAGGATTCCTGGTATATGGCTACGCGGATGACGTGGCTATCATTGCCAGAGGAAATTTCATATCGATCCTCAAGGAGAGGATGGACGCAGCCTTGAGGATAGTTCAAACCTGGTGCAGAAAGAAGGGACTGTCGGTCAACCCATCTAAGACCTTGGCAGTGGTCTTCACCAGGAAATACAAACCCGAACACATAGAGCCACTAAAGCTCTGGGGCAGGGAAATAACTTACACAAGCTCGGTGAAGTATCTTGGAGTGATCCTGGATGTTAAACTAAGCTGGCTGCCAAACCTCGAGGAGAAGAGAAGAAAGTTTTATACCACCATGTGGGCTTGTAGAAGAGTAATGGGTAGAAACTGGGGGTTTCAACCCAAGGCTGCCCTTTGGCTGTACAGAACGGTGTTGCTGCCAAGACTAACCTATGCAGCGGTAGTATGGTGACCGAGATTGGAGAGGGTGGGGGCCAGGAACCTGTTAAAAAGCCTACAGGGTAGTTATCTGAGGGCTGTGACAGGGACCATGAGAACCACCCCGACGGAGGCGCTGGAAGTAGCTCTCTGCTGCCCACCTCTCGGTCAGCTGATAAAATACCAAGCCAGGAGAACGGCTTATAGACTTAGATGTCAGGGGAAATGGAAAAATACCGTTCTAGGACACACTAGACTGGGACTTTCTCAGAAGTACCCCTTCATGTTAAAACAGGATAGAATTCCAAGAAAACCTCAGTTGGGGAAGAAATTTAAAGTTTTAATACCAACTAGAGACGACTGGAACAAGTCTAAATTACTAGCTGATCCAAAAGTGGATCTTTGGTTCACAGACGGATCGGGTGCAAATGGTCGGTATGGGGTAGGAATCTATGGGCCGAAAAGAAACCATAGAGAAAGCATACCTTTGGGCGGGCTGGCCACGGTCTTTCAAGCCGAGGTGATGGCCATCCTGAGGTGTGCGGAAACCCTTGCTGTAAACGATAGTGCAAACCAGCATTTTTACATATGCTCTGATAGCAGAGCGGCCATACATGCCCTTGCAAAGACCATTACAGAATCGGCTGTAGTTTGGGACTGCATGCAGGCATTAGCTAGACTGGGGGAATCTAACAAGATAACTCTAGTATGAATCCCAGGACATCAGGGATTTCTCGGGAACGAGATAGCCGACGAGTTGGCCAAGCTGGGGACCCAAATGGACCCAGCCACGCAGATCGTTGGAGTACCTTTTGTAACGGGAATCAACATCATCGAGCTCCTGGCCATGAACAGACTAAGGCTGAAGGTGGGATTGGGTCTTCTCACGGGACACATCACACTGGGCCATCTAAACAAACTTGGGCTTACGGAACAAAGCGACTGCCGCCTATGTGGTGAGGAGAGAAAGGACAGCGCCCACATTTTATATCGGTGTCCTGTACTCATATGTAAAAGGTATAGATCCTGGGGCTGCATGTTCTTGGAGCATGAGGATCTAAACGAAAAAAGGGTTAGTAGCTTGATTAACTTGGCGTCAGATACTAAGCTGGGTTTATTAGCGCAATTCTAAAAAAATAGCAGGAGGTCACAATGGAACTTTTAGATCTAGGTGACGCAAGGGCATTAATGTGCCCACCTGCTCCACTACTACTACTACTACTACTACTAAATGTATGAAAAAATAATTTAAACATGCATAAAAAAAATAATTCAAAGGTGCATAAAAAAAATTTGCATTGATACTTATTTTTTACATCTTTTCTTGCACGGTGGGATGTCATCATGTTGAACGGGCAAGCAGTAATTTGCGTGTTTAGCGTTCACCTCAGCACCTTACATTTTTTTATTTTTTTACTGTATCCGGGAATTACCACCGAACCTCGTCTATACAGAACGATTGACGAAACCATAGTCTAAATCTTACTAATATAGACAAGTTTCCACCAAAATTTTTTATCCCCTCTTTTATTCGTCTTCAGAATTATTAACACATGTATTGATACATTTTCCAAAACAAGATAATAAATCCATGACACAGCGTCGTAGCCAATCAATTAAGCAATCATACGTCGATAAACCAATGTCAGCCATGATGCATTATAGCGCAAAAGAAAATTATGTGTAGTGTTTATTACGGGAGCGGTGCACTTGGACACGGTGCATTTGGACACAGCTAATCACAGCACCGTGTGATTAAAGATATTTGTAGGGTCCCTTGGAACAGCGACTTGTGATTGGACTGTGTCCAATTGCCCCGTGTCCAACTGATATACACCCTTTATTACTGGTATTTTTTACCAACATATTATTATCGGCATATTTATAATTTTTAACTGATATTATCGATCCTCTGTTTTTGTCCCGTGTAGAATATTCTAGAATATTCGAGACCTTTTGAGGAGAACATTCGGTCCCAAAAAGAATTTTATCTAATGTATGCCTACATAGATACTTTGATAGGAAGTAAAAAGAGATATTCTTTAGTTTTTATTTTCAACAGCCTCCGAAAAAAGTATTTTATCTAACACTAATAATTGTCACCGAGGATTATTTCCACGGTAGGCACAGGTTCTACGCTGATCCCAATCTCCAAATATTTGTACGACGTTGCAGTCAGAGCATATCTGCGTTCCAGGATACGAGCAGTATGGCACCGCATTTATATATGTTGTCGAGCGCTGTCTAATCTGGCTGCTGATAACGAATTCTCTACAGTTGTAGCAGATGAAAGGATATATACATTCTTTAGATAGGGCGTAACACAAGGATTTTAGTTTGAGTTTTTTTGGCAACTTTGGGAAAAACTTTGGGAGCGCACATAGGAAATAGAATATATAAAATCAGGAAGATTTGAAGCGCGCGTTTAGTCCAAGTCCCAGATAATGATAAACATCGAACGCGAGCAACAAGTTCTTGCTGAAGACCATACCAACGACAGCAAGAAAATAAAAGTTTTTTAAATGTGCCATGTTTGCATGCGTAATAGAAGAGCATATGTGATATAGTTAAAAATGGGTGATAATCTTCCAGTCGAAGAAATATTCGACGTATTAGACGATGAAGAAATGAATGATATGGATGTGCAACTTATAAATGGCAACAACGACGAACAGTTTCCCGAAGTGATGGAAGTGGACAACAATTTCGAAAGAATACTCGATGAAGAGTCATTCGATAAAGAACATATATTCGCAGGCGACAGTGATTATCATAGTGACTGTAATGATCAATTTATGGAAAGAGCTAATAAATTAATATATAATTCGGAAATCAATGCGCTAAATGGACGTACAAAAATACGTTGTATATATTTTTATTATTCTACAGGAGGTAGTTTAGCATTATGCACTTCATGTATGTTGCGAATGACAGATTTATTTACACATATGTATGCAGTTCAGAAGCATCTAATTGAGATATATGATGCAATAGACGGAAGATTTTGTTCAGATTGTAAAGGACCGCTGTTTCAAATACTTCCATGCAATTTGTATCCTTTATGCACTTAAGGATGTTATAAAGAAGAATGGGTATTAGAAGAAAGTGACTGGTCAGCTATAAAAAAAAAAACAATTTATGAAAGTGCGTTTTGTGAAAAAAATGGAAGAACTCGCGCGAGTTGAACGTGAACTGAGTTCGCGAGAAGAATATATTGCATGAGTGCAAAAGTGCGACGAGTGCATCGAATCGTTGCAAGGACATAGTCGAGCTAAACGACCGAGATTATCGATCGGTGTTCGACAATCGTTGGTTGCTCAAATTACGCGACTGGAAGGACTAAAACATTTGTTACGTTTTGTGCATACTGGTGCCGGACATTCAGGACTCTTGTGGCGTGAAATAGACACTGCTTTCGACAGCCGCATATTAACTGTTGCAGTTTTAAATATAAATTATATCGAACTTCTTCGATTTCTCCAGAGTGCGAAGAACATAGTGCTCGGACATGTACAAAACGCTATGGAGAGACACGCCAATCTCAAAGTGAACACTGTGTTTAACGGTGAGTTCGTCGCGAGTGAAAAACGTCCGAACAAAAGTATTATGACGAAAAACTTTGAACTCTTTTCCGCATCTGAACTCGAAGAGTGATACGAGCGACGTGTTATCGAGTCCACTTTGGGATGGCTGGAAGAATTCCAGGAACGCGATAGCGGATAGGCATTGTCAAAAATACTCAATCTTACGGTCAATGTGAACAAATACAATCCGTTGCATGCGGAGTGTCACATTGAGTTACCGCGTGAAATACAACTGAAGCGAGCTGTAATTAATGTGAAATCTGCGGATAATGCATGTTTCGCGTAGTCGCTGCTTTTCAACCGAAAGAAATGCAGATCGAGAATCTTCGTACCTACATTATACGTCGATATTAAATTTACAGAACATTAAGTTTCCGATATCTGTAAATCAAATAACAAAATTCGAACAACAAAACAATATATCAATCAACGTGTACTGTTTCGAAAAGAAAACGGAAAAGGAAACGAGACATGTGATCTTCCCGATACATCTCACCAGCTGCAAGATGGACAAACACATCAACTTGCTGCACATTTCGGATCCTCGAGACCACAACACGGGACATTTTGCTTGGATCAAGAACTTATCCCTGCTCGTGAGCTTGCAGTTGAGCAATTATAAAGTCAGAAAATATATTTGCGATCGGTAAGTACATTTCATGAATTCAATGTATCGGAAGTATGAGACGATAGTAAATTGCAATGTTTTATAGATGTCTGCACTATTTCCACTCCAACGAGAAGCTAGAGAGTCACACCATAGACTGCAAAAAATTAAACGACTGCACCATTTTGCTACCCAGCGAGGACAATAAGTGGCTAAGCTTTCGCAATTACAGCAGGAAGGAGCGAGTTCCATTTGTGGTATATGCCGACCTTGAGTGCATCTTACAGAAGATGGTAAGTGAGAAGGAAGAGGAGGGATGTACATTGCACGCGTATCAGCATCACAAAGTATTTAGCATAGCATATTACTTGCGTTGTTCATACAATAATTCATTATCATATTTTCGGAGCCGTCGCGATACGGATTGTATTTCGTGGTTCATCGAGCAACTCGAAGAGTTAGCGCACCGCGTAAAAGTAATTTTATGTACCAATGCCCCCATGGAAACTTTGTCGAAGGAACAGTAGGCGGCATTTCCTAACGCGACGCAATATCACGTGTGTAAGAAGCCATTTGCGACAGAGGATACACGCGTACGCGATCATTGTCATTTCACCGGACGTCTGGCAACGATTCTCTATTCGAACCTTGGGCGAATACAGCGATTTGTACCTGAAGACTGATGTCTTGTTATTGATCGATATTTTTGAAAATTTTCGCGATAGCTGTATCGCAAGTTATGGATTAGATCCTGCGTATTATTATACTTTGCCAGGTTTTACGTGGGATGCAATGTTGAAACATACCGGCATAAATTTTGAATTGCTCACTGACATTGATACGCTCATGTTTATCGAACGCGGTATACGTGGTGGCTTGAGTCAATATTCCGGTAGATACGCGCAAGCCAATAACAAATACATGTCTTACGATCCATCGAAATTGTCGTCGTACTTTGACGTAAACAACTTGTACGGGTGGGCAATATGTCAACCGCTGCCTTACGCTGAATTTCAATAGGTTACAGACTTTTTAAAATTTGATGTATCTTCAATCGCTATCGATTCGCCCATAGGTTATATTCTCGAGGTCGACTTGAAGTATCCGGAAGATTTACATGACGCACACGCTGACCTACCGGTTTGCTCAACACGTGATAAACCACCCGGCAAAAGACAGGAAAAACTTCTCGCGACGCTATACAATAAACAACGTTATGTTATTCATTATCACAACCTGCAGCAGTGCACGCGTCATGGTCTTCGTATCGTGAAGATATACCGCGTGCTTCAATTTTCTCAATCTCCATGGCTCCGCGATTATATCGAATTAAACACACAATTACAAATAGAACGCGTGCAACTAATGATTTTGAGAAAAATTTGTACAAATTGATGAACAATGCAGTATTCGACAATACGATGGAAAATGTTGGCAATCATGTAGATGTAAAACTGTTGACAAAATGGGATGGAAGATACGGTGCTGAGATAATGATCGCAAAACCAAGTTTTCATAGTAGAAGCGTTTTCGCCGAAAATTTAATTGCCGTTGAATTGCGCAAACTCGAGGTGAAATTTAACAAGCCGATTTTAGTGGGTATGTGCATACTCGATATAGGAATGCGAGTATCAAAGGTTTGTTTGTATGAATTTTATCACAAGTACATGTATCCTCTGTATCGCAACAAATGTAAAATAATGTACACTGACACTGACAGTCTCATTTACAATATCAAATGCGATGATGTATACGAGCACATGAAACGTAATATTGCAAGGAGTGATTATCCCGCTGACAACGCGTACAGTATACCGTTTGTAAATAAGAAAGTTCCGGGCTTGATGAAAGACGAAAACAATGGAGCGATAATGATGGAATTCGTCGGTCTCAGAGCGAAGATGTACGCGTTGAGAGTGAACGGTAAAAGGCCAATACAAAAAAGGCCAAAGGCGTTAAAGGTAATGTCGTAGCGCGAACGATAACTTTTAACGATTATACACAATGTTTGAAAAAGGAGATTGAAACGACTCGCTAACAATCATGCAGTAGATCAAAATTGCACGAAGTGTACACAGTGTCCGAAACTAAAATCGCTCTGATGACAAGTGATATATCGTACCAGAATCAATCGATACGTTACCATGGGAACATTATAGTATACCGCTGTAAAAAATGTATATATTAAAACAAGTGTACCCGGTTAAGTTAAAACATATATATTCGGTTAGGATATATGTCAAATGCGATAATAAAATATATTTTTATATAAAAATAGAACTTAGCTCGATAGCAGTCTACGATTGGTATTGTCAATAAAGGTTCAAATTACAAAAATTTTTTTATTATAACAATTGTTTATTGATTATTTTAATACAATAAAATGCATTTTACAATATTTGGAGGTATGTGTTATTTTAAGTGATCTTTCGCTCGCGGGGAGGGTGTAATATAAATATGTGACTCGTTGTACCCTTTTAAATGTACATTTATTTTGTGTCACGCCTTTTACATGTGTGCGTGTGTGCGAGTCTTTTTAAAGTGCGACGGGCCACGGAATTTAGCGCGTTTCTAAGCGGGCTCTTCTCCTTTCTCCAGGCCCTCCTTCGCCTGGGGGTCCGGGCGAAAGTATCTCGGTTCTTCTTGTCAGAATGAGGCCCGTCTTTAAGAGTGAATCGAAGTGATATCGGTCGTCCTGCGCGTGAGTCGCCGTAGGCCAAGATTGAGATAGGTGGCCGTGTCAACGGCCGCTGCGGGAGGTGTATCCGCTGCAGCCTCCACGCGGTTCCTGCCGTGGAGGTGGTCGGTGCTGGAGACTTGGGCGACTCCCAGTAAAGGGGCGAGGGGGTCAGTTCCCGTGGCTGACGGAGTGTGTGGTCGTGTAGAACGACCCGTCAGTGTCCCTTGTGCCATCTGCCCTACTAGGGGTTCGGGTGAGTCTCCTCCGAATAGCTCCTGTAGACGTCTTTGCAGTTTTCCTGCCGGTCCCCGCCTTTGGGCAGGCTTCCGTGCCGGGGAACCGGCTTGCGGGGGCGTCCGCGTTACCCTTGGCGTGGTTGCTTTCGTCGGAGGCCTCTTCGGCGTCTGGAAACTCGAGGCCGCTTCTGCAGCGGATGCCGGGGCGCTTCATCAGTGCCGAGAGACGTGATGCCGCTTCTGCAGCGGATGCCGGGGCGCTTCTTCAACGCCGAGAGACGTGACGCCGTTTCTGCAGCGGATGCCGGGACGCTTCTTCAGTGCCGAGAGACGTGATGCCGGTTCTGCAGCGGCTGCCGGGACGCTTCTTCAGCGCCGAGAGAGTCGGTGCCAATTCTTCAGCGGATGCCGGGGCGCTTCTTCAGCGCCAGGCGACTCGATGCCGTTTCTTCAGCGGATGTGGCTTGTAGCCGAGGCCGATGACTTTCTAGCTGCGGTAAAATGCTAGGGAAGCTAGCGCGGCGGAGTGTGTCGGCCCGCGGAGTCCGGCTTTTTATTGTCTGTTGATCATAATTTTCTTGCGAGAAAACCTCTCCATGTACGCGCCGCCAAACGGCGCCGCACGGAGGTTTTAGCGGTTGCAGCGGCGGCTCGGCTAGCGGCGGTCGTACGCCGTTCCTCGTGTGGATCTATATCGATCCACCACACAATACATTATCCTTGTTTATCCATGAGTTGTATAAATTGCTAAATCCCAACCATTTCACGTAAACCTTGTCATCTTTTCTGCGTAATACTTTTTCCACCAGGTATACATCAGGATTATTAACACGATGCAGTTCATGTTCGTAGAATCCTCCAGCGACAGGCTGTTCGTGAAAATCCTCGAGTAGATAAGTTACAGGATTAGTTGTCCGTACTTTGGCAATAGTAAATATTTTGGTTGTCCAGTTCAGTGTGTAACCCTTCTCGAAGACAGTCTTGCTAACACGTACATGATCGCCTACTTTGAATTTAGCAGGCGCTGCAATTATTACATTGCTGTACACCGTATTCAGCTTATCGGCGATCGCGGGGATAACATTAATAGGACGCATTCCGATAGTTTGATGTTTACATCCATTGTACTGCGATACGAGATTCGACAGCGCATCGATTCATTTGTAGGTTCTGTTGAATGTAAACATTTTCCACATATTATTTTTTAACGTGCGATTGAATCCTTCCACGACGGAGGTCTTCATTACTAAGTATGTCGAATAATTATTGACGTTGTGTTTCTTTATTAGTTTCTGAACATCTGCGTTGTAAAATTCCTTGCCTTGATCGGTTTGCAAATTTTTCGGACATCTATCTCGAATTATCTTGGTGAACACTTCAGCTACCTTTTTTCCGTTCTTACTTTTCAGCGGCACAGCCCATGCGTATTTGTTCAGCACATCAATAACCATAAGTATACAGTGATGACCTTTGTTAAATCGCGCATAAGGACGCATCTCTACCA